GGGTGAAGAACATCAATGACCATCTGTTTCCGCTGAAGTAGTCGGTTAGTCATGAACTTCCTGGTCCGGATAGTTACTGTGTCGTTCATGATGATCCCGCCTGGCTTTTTTACACTTAAAAATATTCTTTTTTTTTTTAAAGATTTTATTTATTTATTCATAAGAGACAGAGATAGAGAAGCAGAGGGAGAAGCAGGCTCCCCGCTGAGCAGGGAGCCCGATGCGGGACTCGATCCCACGACCCCGGGACCACGACCTGAGCCGAAGGCAGACGCTTAACCATCTGAGCCACCCAGGTGCCCCCTACACTTAAAAATATTGCAATCACTTCACAGTCATGTACAGAGATAACTTTTTGTTGTTTTTACAGCCGTATAGCACCCATTCTCTGGATGCTTATTCAGCCAGTTCCCTCCATTTGGATTGCTCTTTTGCTCTTATAGATAATGCTGCAGCCCATAGCTTTGTTACATAATTTTTTTCATCTTTTTGCTGAGGTATCTTTGGGAAAAAGTCCTGAAATGGAATTGCCAGAGTAAATGGTAACTTGCATACAGAATTTTGCGATATATTGCCAAATTCTCCTCCATAGGTGTGGTATCATTTTGCATTCTCATCAGTGATATCTGAGAGTGCGTTTCTCTTCAGCCTTGCCAATGGAGTATGTTGGCACACTCTCAGATACTTACCAACTCAGTGGGTAGGAAGTGTTCTCACTGTGGTTTTCATTTTGTTTTATTGTGAGCAGTGTTGAGCATCTTTTCATTGTTTTAAGGGCCATTTGTATTTCTTTTTGCGTGTGAACTATTTAATTATTTTGAGTGTTTATATATTGGTAGATTAACTGTTTGTGATATGAGATGCATAGTTTTTTGTTATTTGTATCTATCCTTTGATTTTTTTAAAATTTATTTTTGCTTTTGCCATGTAGCAGCTTTTTAAAGTTTTCACGTAGTCAAATTGATCATTAATTAAACTTCTACCCCGAGGTTATAGAATAATTCACCTATTTCTTTTTCTTTTAGTATTTGTATGTTTTCGTCTTCTACGTTTAAGTCTTTGTTCCAGTTGGAGTTTATCCCAGTGTTTGGCATAACAGTGGTAAAATCAGTTTTCTCTTTTTCTGTGCTGTTTTAATACGATTACTTTAAAGGCAGTTTTTTCTCACTGATTTGAGATGCTTGCCTTTATCATGTATCATATTTCCATATGCACTTGGGTCTATTTCTGGATTCCCTATCCTGTTTTATTGGTCTTGCCTCTTCATTTGACACTACTATTTTTTTCTTTATAGGTGCTTTGTATGTTTTCTGGTATGGCTAGGTGCCCCTCCTCCCAGCCCCTGTTGTTTTCCTTTTTATGGTCTTCTTGCCTACTGCGCTTGTCTTTTCCAGTGAACTTTATCATTTTTTTTTAGCTCCAGAAAAAAAAAAATGTGTTTTTCTTGGGATCATGTTAAATTTATGAACTTGATCTGACATTGTTACAAGGATGTTCAGCCTTCTCAGAACATGGTATGTCTTTACATGTGTTCCAGTCATGTTTTAGGTCCTTCACGTAGGTATTAGCTATTTCTTGTTAAGTTTATGCCCAACTGTTTTATTTTTGCAGTTGTAAATAGGATCTTTCTTCCACATGACATCTTCTGGTTTTTTTGTTTGAATATATGAGCACTGCTAAGTTTTGTATATTGATTTTATAATCTACTACTTTACTAAATTATGTTAGAGTTTAATTTTTCCAGATGTGAATTTGTATCCTTTGTAAATTGAGACTGTTTTGCCTCTTACTTTGCAATTCATTTTCTTCTGTTGTTGTCTTTGAGGTATATGAGGTTTTTGCTTTTTTTGGCCAACTTTATCTCCAGGGCACCTTTTCTACTCTCTCTCTTTTTTTTTTTTTTCTTTTTCAGTCAGAGAGCTGTTGTTTAGGCATTTGATTGCTAAACTGGAGGAAAGTGACCACCAACCTCTAAATCCCTTTTTTTCCTGAATTATTTATATTTCATTTAGAGATTCATATGTATATTTTTATTTTTTAAAGCCAACTTAGTTGACATATAACTTATTATACACAAGCAGAAAATTCACCCTTAAAAGGTTTACAGTTCGTAAATTTTAGAAACATATAAAACCATGTTGCTACTGCCACAGTTAAGATGTAGACTATTTCCATCACCCTTGTGCCTCTCTGCATCAGTACCCCCAAACCCCTCACCTCCGGTCCTTGGCACCCACTGATCCAATTTCTCTCCCTGCAGTTTTGCCTTTTCCAAAATGTCATACACATGGAATCATATAGTATATGCCTTTTGAGCCTGGCTTCTTCCACTTACCCTCATGCCTTTGAGATTCATCCATGTTGTTGCCTGTGTCAGTAATTTGTTACTTTTTATTGCTGGCTACAGTACTGTTCCACCGAACAGACATACCATACTTTCTTTATCCACTCACTGATTGAATTGGGTTGTTTCCAAACTCCCGTGATTGTGAACAAAGCTGCTATAGACATTTGCGTACAGTTTTTTTGCAGACACGTTTTCACTTATTTTGGGTAAATACTTGTAATGGGATTTGTGGATTTCATAGTAAGTGCATATTTAACTTGAAAGAAACTGTGCAGTCATTTTACAAAGTAGCTGTACCATTCTGCATTCCCATCCGCAGGGCAGGAGCGTTCCAGTTGCTCTACATCCTTGCCAGCATTTGTCTTTATCAGTTTATTTTATTTTAGTCATTTTCATCGTTGTGTAATAATGTCTCAGTGTGGTTTTAAATTTAAGGCTTGTTTCTTAAAACCTTGATAAAATCAGAAGCTGAATTTATTAGTTGTCTAAAAACATTAAGAATAAGGTCACTTTTGAATGGATAAAGAAGATGTGGTCCATATATACAATGGAATATTACTCAGCCATCAGAAAGGATGAATACCCAATTTTTACATCAACATGGATGGGACTGGAGGAGATTATGCTAAGTGAAATAAGTCAAGCAGAGAAAGTCAATTATCATATGGTTTCACTTGTTTGTGGAACATAAGGAATAGCATGGAGGACATTGGGAGAAGGAAGGGAAAAATGAAGGGGGGAAATTGGAGGGAGAGATGAACCATGAGAGACTATGGACTCTGAGAAACAAACAGGGTTTTAGAGGGGAGGGGGGAGGGGGGATGGGTTAGCCCGGTGATGGGTATTAAGAAGGGCACGTACTGCATGGAGCACTGGGTGTTATATGAAAACAATGGATTGTGGATCACCACATCAAAAGCCAATGATGTATTGTATGGTGACTAACATAACATAATAAAATTAAAAAAAAAAGAATAAGGTCACTTTTGCCCAATGAATATTAATCAGAAACTGTGAAGCTAGCTTCTTGCCTTGCCTGCCTTTCCTTACTCCCCAGCACAGTGGGCACTTAATAATTCTCGGTTCCATGGACCAATTAACCAAGAAAGGCCACTTGTCTTCCATTTACCTGGAAGAAATGGGATATTTTTTCTTTTTTTTTTTTAAAGATTTTATTTATTTATTTGAGAGAGAGAGAATGAGAGACAGGGAGCACGAGAGGGAAGAGGGTCAGAGGGAGAAGCAGACCCCCTGCCGAGCAGGGAGCCCGATGCGGGACTCGATCCCAGGACTCCAGGATCATGACCTGAGCCGAAGGCAGTCGCTTAACCAACTGAGCCACCCAGGCGCCCGAAATGGGATATTTTGATAGGAACTTCTCAATGTTTCAAAGCAAACATTTCAAAGTTAAAAATTTGGTGTTGTCTTTCTGTAAGAAATTTGCAGGTGTTTTCATCTCAGCCTGCCATATTGAGGTACAATGATGGTAATACACTTCTGTTGAATTACACAGGAAAACCATGAAGAACCGCTACATGGAACTGTATGACCTCAATAAAGACTTGCTAAATGGATACAAAATTCGCTGTAACAACCACACGGAGCTCCTGGGGAACCTCAAAGCAGTAAATCAGGCCATTCAAAGAGCTGGTCGTCTGCGGGGCAAGTCTCTTTTTGTAGCATTATAAGTAGTCTGTAATTTGGGGGTGAGAACCCTTAGAGCTAGTGGTAGCTTCTAGAATTCATACTGGGGCTGACAGCAGCATACCTTTGATACCCAGCTTGGTCGCAGTTTGGCTTTAGTCAATCTGCAGACTTCAGAGGGAAAGAAAACTTTCAGCCCTTTTTCTTAGATCTTGCTGCACCTTCCAAGGAAAACCTAATGACATATACCCAAGGGGAAAGCCTTAAATATACCTATTTTTTCAAAAGGGAGACTAAAAATTAATGAGCTAAGTGTCCAACTTAAAATATAGAAAAAGAGCAATAGAATAAATCAAAGGAAGCAGAAATATCGCCAGAGATTTATACCTGAAATCTGTTGTTTGGGTCAATGCTTTGACCTCCTTTTAGAAAAATAATCTTTGCTTGGGCACCTGGCTCAGTACGAAGATCATGCAACTCTTGATCTCAGGGTCATGAGTTTGAGCCCCATGTTGGGTATAGAGATTACTTAAAATCTTTAGGGAAAAAAATAATCTTTGTTAGGTGGATCTGTGCTTTGATCTTCTATAAAACTGACTTCATTTCTAGGTTTGAGATGGTCCCTAGATTTGGTTTGTGATAAATTTCCTCACAGAGTTACCTTTTTTGGAGAGTGGTAAGATAAATTTGCCCACCATATATCTTTTCTCTACTCTAGTTTTATGCTGTTTTAAAGCTGGCCTCTGATTTATAATTTTACTTTTAATCATCTTTCGGATTGTACTGATTTGATGTTTCATCCCACACAGTTGGAAAACCAAAGAACCAGGTGATCACTGCTTGTCGGGATGCGATTCGAAGCAACAACATCAACACACTGTTCAGAATCATGCGGGTGGGAACAGCTTCTTCTTAGGAAAGGAAAAAATAGGTAATGAAATCCCTAAAAAGCGTTCTTCCCTAAAAATCGAGGCTAGTTTGCTTGAACCACATCCTGGTGAAGCCAGGTGCTAAGAGTGGCGGTAGCCTTGGTGAATGGTACAAATGCAGACAACCATCGCATCCCTTTCTGTGTTTAGAATCAGTTGCCCTGTTACCGAGTAATACCAGGTTCCTGTAGAGGAGGGGAATACTTTTAAAATGTTAGGGCTTCAAAGTCCAGGTTTTTTTTGTATGTATGTAAAATTGGTATATAGATGTATAGATACATCTTCTTCCTTGAAATTGTAATTGAATTTGTAATTAAAAAGTTTTTCATTAAAACTTAGGAATTGCACTTTGTGTTAACTGCAGTCACCACCGTCTTAGAATTGCAGAAACCATTTGCATGCTGTGGAGGAAAACACAAGCATGGGTACTGGATTTGTGTGCCCTTTATCACTGACGTGGGCATAAGCAACACGTCTGCACTTAAGGGAGAGTCAGTTGAAGGTGATCTGTTAGTTGGGGGTAAATTAGTTACTGAAACTAATAGACCTCAAAGTTCATAATGACCCATTTATTTTTCATTTATGTCAGGATGTCTCTATAGTTATTCAGGAACCCCGCTTCCTGTAATCATGCAGCCATGTCATCCTCTAGGGCAGCCTTTCTTGGAGTTCTCTAGAGAAAGGAGTTTCAGGAAATGGATTCGGGTGACTATTTTCACGTTCACTGCATACGATGAAGGCCTGATGGTGCCAGGAACCTGATGTGAGAAGGCCTTGCCGTGATTTAAGTCCAAGTCAGTAGAACAGGGAAAGCTTTTCTCAAAGCTGTGATCTGGAAATAGCACCTTATCATTCCTACTTGCGTTCTGTCAGCTAACATGCCCACACCTCACTGCAGAGAGGCCAGGAAATATCACCAGCTGTGTGTCGGCGAGGCGGAGAAGGCTGGTGTCTGTGCCAACAACTAGCAGCTCCTTCCCTAAGAGTGAAAATTTTGCCTTCAGGTAGATTCCAGGACTGGTTTAATGACGAAAACGTTCACCAGTTTTCACTTCTTAACAGCATTCCTAAGTGGTGGGGAAGACAGGCCGTACCCCTGTGGTAAATTAATCTTACGAGTTTCTTCCATTTAGGCATTTAGGATGAGCTCTTCTGTTTCTGAAATGTGAGCTTTGTGGAATCCTAATTTTTATGAGACTATGCCCTAGAATACCTTTGTTTAACATTTTCAACCTATAAGCTCAAAAGACACCCACATAGGGGCCCCTGGGTGGCTCATATGGTTAAGCGTCTGCCTTCGGCTCAGGTCATGATCTCAGGGTCCTGGGCTCAAGCCCCGCATTGGGCTCCTTGCTTGGTAGGGAGCCTGCTTCTCCCTCTCCCTCTACTGTTCCCCCTGCTTAGGCTCTCTCGCTCTGTCAAATAAAAAAATAAAACCTTAAAAAAAAAAGACACCCACATATACTGTATTATTTTTCATAATCCCTGAAGTAGTAAAGCATCTTCTGTGTGTGCTTCAAAGATGAGGGAACTGAGACACAGGGATTAATTACTTGCCAGAGTCACAGAGCTACTGGCAAAACTCGAGTTCCACTCTTGAGTCTTTTTCTGTTTTGTTTTTTTAAAATTAATTAATTTAAAAGATTTATTTATTTGACGGAGAGAGAGTGCGAGAGCACAAGCAGGGGGAGAAGCAGGCACCCCCACTGAGCAGGGAGCCCGGACTCGGGACTCGATCCCAGGACCCTGAGATCATGACCTGAGCCGAAGGCAGACGCTTAACCGACTGAGCCACCCAGGCGCCCCAGAGTCTTTTTCTGTTTTAATAACTACAGTGTAACCTATACGTTTTGAGATTAAAATCTCTAGTTGGTGCTGGTTTTAAATTGTATGGCACTATTCGGGGCACGTGGGTGGCTCAGTCGTTAAGTGTCTGCCTTTGGCTCAGGTCATATCCTAACAGAATAATCTCATCAAAGGTCATTCAGTTATTCTTCAGCCAAAAAGCTTCCTTCTTAGACCTAAAAATACTCATAGCAAGTCTCGAAGGGTTGACCTGCAGTAGAATGTATCTTCAAATAGTCCTGATTTATAGGTTACAAATAGATGATTTTCACATTAATTTGATCCTCTTGGTATTTATCACTGAGCTCAGAGAGGCAGAATGTTTTCTACAGGGTCTCACAGCTTGGTGAGTCTTGGTGTGGGTTTGAAACCAAGTAGCCATGGCCCTTCCTGCTATTCCAACTGTTCCCAGTCATGTAAAGACTGGATGAGATGAAAATGTTCATAAAACCTTCTACCATCTCTTTTCCCCTTATAAGTCACCATGTTCAGCTTAAGGAGGAGAAAAACTATTTGGTTATCTGTTGCCTCTCTGTTTTGTTACCATATTTTTCTATCCTGATAGAATCTGAGGCCTTCTAAGAAGTCATAGCTTAAACTCTATTTTGTTGCTGCGTTTTGTTGAAGCTTTAAGTGAACACTGAGCCTTCATTGAAAAGCTGATCTTGAGGATCCTGGGATCTGGGAGAAAGCTTTGAAGTCATTTTTCGAGCATCCCTTTAAAAAAGTCTCCCGTCCCCTGCCAAATTCAGGTACTCAGTATTTTTGAAAGAGTATGGTTTTTATTATTTCCCACCTGTCTTCCTATCCACATACATCAAGGCTTGGCTCAAATGCTCTCTCCTTAGGAGATCCCTCCCGTAGCTGTTCCTTAACCCTTATTACATTCTGTGTGTAGATCGATGTTAATCCTCTACTGAGAACAGGGGCTGCACCTCAATCAGCTTTCCCCTCCCAGCGGTGCTGAGCCAGTGCTCCGAGCACAGAGAAGCACCTGCTGCTCTCCATGGAATTGCCTGTCCTCAGCCAGTCCCTCAGGAGCTTCCAACATCACAGAACTAGGGACTTCACAACAATTATGCAACCCTAGAAGTGCTTTACAAGAATGAGTTCCAACATTATTTAGGTTTCAAGGTTTATAATTAGCAGTTACAAATCTGCCAGTGCAGAGGCCTGTGATCACAGAACTAAATTATCTCTGCTTTCACTTTGAAACTGAAGTACAGTAAGGAACCCATTTGCAGCTTGGTGTTTTGCATTTTGCCTCTTTCCCATCTGGCCCCTGCCCACACTAGATGCTGAAGCTCCTGACTCATCTTTTTATTTGTATGGTACAGAAATCTGTTTTTCCTAAAATGATGTCACATGGACGATTCCCAAGTAGTTTTCAGAACTGTCTACATGGGCTGATTTTGCATCAGTCAGAGAAAGAAATCGTGTGTTTTTGCAGGAACATTCAGTTCATTAGGGCTGGAAAGCTGATGTCACAAGGACCCTTCTAACGGGCTTTGCATTTTCTCCCTCAGTGTCAGTGGCATATAAGGAAGTACATACTGGTACCGAAGACGTACGACAGCCAAAGCTTCTGGCTGAAGAAATACTGGTCTAGGAGAGGTAGCCCAAGCAGTGATTTTTTTTTTTCCTTCAGTATTCTGCGGGAAAGAAACCACCGCATTCAGTGGAGTGTGGGAGCCAGTCAATGAGCAGTAGAAAACCCAGGTTCAAAACCAGCTTCAAAACCAGCCTCTTTCCCTTCTAGGCTTCATTTTCCACATCTTTAAAATGGGGGACAGAAGTTAGATTATTAATAGAGTTCTTCATTAAACATTTTATTTTTCCTCCTCTTAATAGAAATGCTAATATGCTCTCAAAATAACTTTATGAAAACATTCTTAATTTCCATCATTATGAACATATAAAGGGGATTTGTTCTCCGGGGGGCGACCTTACGCAGCTGTAGGAAGTGGTGAAGCAGTCTCTTGGAAGGCACATTCTCTGTCTCGGTACATTACAAAGTACCACAGTGGCTGTCGCAGGATGGTGGGATTCCAGATGGATGACCTTTCCTTCATATTTTTCCATGTTCTACTTCTTCACAATGAACATGTATTATTTATATAATCTGAAAAAATACAAAGCTGCTTTCTGGGGGGGGGAAAATCTTCCTTTACTAAAAGGAATGATAAGGATTGGAGGTTCACTGTTAAGAATTAAGAGAGAAGATGCCATATATTATATAGGTGAACACCAAAGCTCTTACCTGAAACAAGTATTTCAAAGATGCCCATGTTTTAATTTCTCTTTTGCCACTAAACAGTTGTTGACACTGGCTGAAGCCCTAAAGATCGAGAGGAAGAATGAAGTACTAGGAAAAACAGCTTCTCAGTCACTGATGTCTTCAGTGCAGGAAAGGGACCTGCGAGCTACACGGTCCTCTAAGAGGAGCTGCTGTAGATGATGTAACGGACAGAAGCATCAGAGTCTGGCTTTCAGGGACTTGCTCTCCCTTTAGGCACCGAAATCCTTTCCCATAGTGTATAGAAGATTCTGCCATGTTGACAGACCGTAAACACACTGAGATTAAGGAGAAACTAATAAGCACATTTTAACGCTTGTGTAGTTTGCTAAGGTTTAGACGGAGCGCTCCAGAACAGGACAAGCTGGGTGGCATCGTACGTGTCACCTAGAGCCATGAGTTTCTGTTTTCCCAGCTTGGCATATGTGATGGTCTCACCTGCCTGGCACTTTCTCCTGGGCCCTCCACTTCCAGTTAATGCCATTGACGGGTTCATTAGAACCTTACCCCTCTCTCTCCCAATCATGAAAACACACCAGAAAGCAAGTGAGTGAAAGTCATATTGTAGGGATGACCTTCATTCAGTCTGTAGCAACTGAAAAGAAAAGGCAAGCTTTGAAATGTAAGCCATTGGTTATAAAGTAGTTGTAATCCGTGAGTGTTATTATACCATGGTGAAAAAACTGTGGTCTCCAAAATAGTATGCATGTACACTGGCCCAGTACCGTGTGGGCGTGGGAAGACACCATTAGAACACTAGTTCTAGGTGCTTCTTTCTCATCTCAGCTGGGAAAAAGATGTGTTTTGTAACAATACTGAATATTAGTGCATGTGAAAAATTTCTAGACAGATATCCATATAACGGGTATAAATGCTAAACATTTTTTACTGACTGGGGTGCGAAATTAAACAAATTTTAAAACCATCAACCTAAAAGAAAGTGAACTTCATTCTCTCATTTAAGGTCAACTTTAGAATAGAGTCAATACTCAAAGTGTTACGAGATTAACGAAGATAAAAGCCCAATGCTTTTGCTCTTGAGTAATAAAACGCCCAATAAAAGCTATGGTAACAGCTAGTAATACGTGTAAAAAAGAGAGGAAATGAGAAGACAAGAATGGAATGAGAATAGCGTCTTTCAGCTAAAGATGCAGTGACCCCGATGCCCACTTGGCACACCCACATGGACACGTGGTACTTCTCATG